CCTAGGGTTCTGGCTGCTGAAACTGCACAACCCAACGACACTCCATGGGAGCCCCCCAGGGAAGCTCCCGAGGCTGGGAAGTACATGTAAAAAGGCCCACGTGGGGCTGGCTGTAGTGTGAGCTGTCCCCCAGGAAGCCCCATTGGTGCCCTGGCTGTCCACTGGCTCCGCCCCCCACCTCCCCCTCTCCAGCAGCTTCCGCTTCCTTCAAGTCGGGGCTTAGCTCCTGCACTGCCATCCTCAGCCCTTTCATAATCATGTCTCATTAAAAATAAATACAGGAAATGTTTGAGGAGCCTCAGTTCAAGTGCCTTCGAGTTAGTTTCCAGATTAAAATGTTTCTGAGCAAATGCTGCCCCAGTTACTTCTGATCCATGCCCCCACACCCAGGATCATCGTGTGTTTGTTGTAAGTGGGGTTCATGACTTCTTGGCATGTCAGGGGCACCTGGGCCTATGGGTTTCTGGAAGGCAGGGGCTGTGGGGGTAGGGCTTCAACACATAACTCTGGGGTGTGGCGCTCAAGCACTTGGTCTATAAGGGCAGTGCTGAGCTAAACCGAGGGTCACGACCTTCCGAGAGTTAGAAGGAGGCTTCTTATGGGGAGTCTGCTCTCCACACTCTCAACCTGCAGATGAGGAAGCCGAGAATCCCAGGTTAAGTGACTTGTCAGTGGGGATGTTTCCATACCATGTGTTATGTATAAATCTTATCTCTTTGGAGGCCTGATCTTCAAAGGCCTCCAACTGTATTCAACTGAGAGTAATAATAAACTGGTATTTTGGGAACACTTGCTACATAAAATAATGCTCTTGGCTCCTATCAGTAATTTTCATTCAAGTTCAGGCAACAAGGGTCAGGAAAAGGGGGTTGATGCTCTGAAAATTAATAAAGAAAACCTCAATTAAAGTTGGAGCGCTTGTAGGGGGAGCTCTCATGCTCTACCACTCATCCTCAATTACCCCAAAGAGGAAAAGACAAACCTTGCATCTCCAATAGGAAGATGTTTTCTCTTTGACTACCCTAGCAGGAGGAAGGAAGATTTTCTCCTTGCCTGGCAACAGCCCAGCCAATGAGAGATTGTCACAACTCAGGCAATGAAAAGCTGAAACTCCCAGTTTCCTCCAATGAACTCTGTTTGTAACAGGCCCTCCCAACTCCCACTTCCCTCTATAAAAAGAATGATCCTCTTCTTGGTTCTCCAAGCTCTGCCATTTTCCTAGCTAGCCCACTAATCCTTCTGGCCCTTAGTTTTCTCACCTGTAACATCACACGATGGTGATGGTTGTTATTAACCTCCACAGTTTCCATAAAGATGAAATAAAAGCTCCCCTGCAGTCGCTGAGGTGTTGGAAGCCAATAATGACCAATGTCTTGTGGAATGGGGCTCCTGGAAGGGGAGAAGGAGAGAACCCCAGCTAGCAATTCTTTGCACCAGGGCAGAGGCAGGACCCCCCCCCCCCAAACACACACACACAACACCATACACCATACACACAGAGGGGCCCTCAGATCCCCAGGTCCTGACAGAGCAGAACCACAGGAAGTAAGTGGTGTCTCTTCCGGCTACTCCACACACACCCGTCGGCCAGTGTGAGCAAAAATGTGTGCTGTGCAATTATGGGCAACGTAACAAGTCCTTAAATACAAACCCTCTTCCTCTGCCCACGGTTTTCACATTTTCAGACGATGCTGGTGGGGGCCGCTGGCTCTCAGCGGGAGTGCACATTCGAATCCCAGTTTGCGTCTGAAAGTACAGAATCAAAGCCTCACCCCAAGATTCCAATGCCATGGTCTAGGAGGGACCCTCGGAACTGATCTTTTAAGAAGAACTCCAGGTAACTCTAATGTACAGACAG